TATTATTTGTGACTCCCAAAAACGTACGAAAAAAAACTGTGAAGAATGACTACTTCCTAGCCACAGTCTGCGGCACTTTTTGTCAGCAAAACTAGGGGAGGATCCTTTCCTTATGACCAAAAAAAGAACGTTGGAAAAGAATTTGTCACTTTTTGCCTCCAACTTTCTAATAACAGGCACTTTTCTATAAAGACGAAAAACATGTGAATCAAAAACTACCTCTTCTTTTTTCTTCTTTTCCTCTTCCATGGCCTTCTCCTTTGCAATGGCCTCTTCAATCTGTCTGATCAAATCCAACCTGGCTTTGTGATCCACTTTTCCACCTTCTAATTCAGTCAATTTCTGCCGAGTACTTTCAGCAATGCCTATACAAAACTAGCTCATTAAGTAAACACTACAAAAAAAATAACGTGGAAAAATTTCTGCAAATCGTAAGAAAATTATTACTCTAAAAAAAGTACTCACCCTCCGGCAAACTTTGAACAAGTGCCTTCAATCTGTCAGTAAATGAGATATCCTCTGGTAGATATAATGCTCTTGACAACAGTAGCAGAGAAGGAGGTATCTTATCATTAAGCGAAAGCTCCAGCCATTGTCCAAGCTAAAAGGGGCTTAATATAAGATCGAAAGAACCAAACCAAATAGCCAAGTCTTTCTGAAAGAAACATACCTGCTCCCGTAATCGTTCTTCACTTAAACCAATGGCACGCATTCCTCTTGCACGACAAGCTTGCTGGAGATCAATGGTACTTAGTGCTTCGACCCCACCTTCGGCAGCAATTTGCTGGAAATTTGGATTTCAAAAATCGTCATCTAACTCACATGACAAAGCAGTGCTCCCGTTAATTAAAGGTAAATCACTTTGTCATCGGCTTTAAGTTCGCGCAGTTTCATATGAAGCTGGAATCTAAGGATTTCTGGGCTTCCAAGTGGCTGGATGGACATCACACGACAAAGTGACCTGCAACGCATCAAGTCAGCTCTACGTAAAGATAGTTCCATATGTTAACATCAAAAGAGTTTAAGAAAGAAAGTGCAAAAGGAGAACATAATTTACCGCAATTGGCTCATGCTAAGATTATCCAAAGTAAGCTCATCTTCAAAAAGTTTCGTAAACTTCAACAGATCTTTGTTCGAGACGTAGCCACCTTCAGATCTCACCTGAAATAATGAGTGCAAAATTTAAGCTTTGCGTTAAGTTACATAGAACGATGATGACCCACTTT